ATTGCGCGATTTTTTCCAGTGATTACGAAAATGAGAAGGATAAAGTTCTAGAATACGAAGAAGGTGAGAATTACCCTAGAAGAAATTATAGATGAAATTGATGCATATTTGGAGTCAAGGGCAGGCCAAGCACCCTGCAATCCTGCAAAAAAATGACAGGATTTCGTATCTTATTGCCCAAAACGTGCATCGTAGAGCAGGCCATAGCTGTGGGGGTGTACAAATCGGTAGTTTATACGAACTCCGCTCCCTGTAAATCGCGTTACAAGTTAAGTAGTTACAAAACAATCAATTGTTGATCTTCTGAAATAAAAATTATTGTGTCGTCCTTCTTTTTTTTAATTAGTCGGACTAGCCGACTAATTAATTTCGCGTTTGGGCCACCGCAAGTTAAGAATTTAATAATTAACTATTGGGTTGGCTGTGTTATTATATGACCGGAAGCTCAATCGTATATAGATGTACGAGTATCCTTAGTAAACAGTTATATGCTACTTGCGCTTTTATACACCTATTTCAATAAACGTTGTCGGGGAGAACGGCGAACGGCGATTGTCGAAGGGACAATGCACGACCGAAAGGGACCGTGGTTATACTGTTTTCATAAACAAAATTTCACTTATTGGATTCACCTTACATACAAATGGAGACTAAATGGAGCCAATGTTTCTTTGCCACGTCCTGTTAGCAACAGGACTATTTTGTAGCATAAATCAGTAGTTATTTCAACTAGCGAAAACCATGGCTACTTTCGGTCGTGCAATCGCTGTTCTTTGAAATAGCTATATGATAAAAAAAACTATTCGTTTACAAATGTGGTATCTGTGATCTCATCGGAATGCATCAGTCTAGTCATCATAAGTATGCGCATGTGCAGTTCGCATGGTGCTTCGAGTAGTATGCTTACGAAACTAAATCAATGACCTTTCTAGCGTTAGCCAGTCTTGTTTGGGCAAAGATTTCAAATTAGAACAAGAAGAAACTTTGTTTATCAATAACAAAAAGACGACTTAAGTGATTTTATAGGTATAATTTACTTTRTAAAGTATTTTTTTTCTTGGCTTGAGATGTCAACGTATTAGATTTCATGATATCACTTAGCGACATTTTGTCTACCTACCACGTTTGATTTTATCAGTAAAAGCAAGGACTCTTTTGAAACATTTATATCGGTGTTAATTACATCAATTGCATGGGGAGTGACCTGGGAACGAACGTCCTAACGGCTGCGAGAGGAGACTAATGGTTTTCCTGCGTTTGCTCTATTTGTCTATTTGCTCTATCAAATTACGGTACAATTAAATTGAATATTT